AATATTCCCGTAGACCAATCTTCATCGGCAGGTGGCTCATATGTTGATGGTAGGGCTTGTCCACATTCTGGGCATCTACGAGCTTGCAACTATCAAAAGATACTAAGATTAGCAATTCAGTGTTAAAGAATGTGAAATTTTATCATAAAATCAAAACCAAAGGCAGTATGAATCAATACATGTGCGAATGCATGCATATGCATCATGCATGCGCACACATACAACATTAATTTATATGCACATTGATTTTGGTGATAAATTTGAAAACCTCATGAATGTCAATTGGTTGATTGAGCTCCCCGGGTGTGACATCTTGTAGCGATGCTTCTTGCTCCTTCGTAAGCTTCACATAAGACTTTTCTCCCATTTCTCTTTATTCTTTTCTTTTAGAGATAGGAAACAATAGTTTAATTTTTACTCATAAGTTCCCCCCCATTATTCGCACACAAGTGTGTGTTTCTACGTGTATTTATGTATGTATTCTTGACCCTACATTTTAGTTCGAGTCAGAAACTATCTCTCAATTGTTCAAAAAAACGTGTGGACCAAACTTGGTCTTAATACTTACATATTCAGAACTTGATTCATACATTTTACTACTTTGGTAACAATTTCATATTTCTTTCTTTTCATGCAATATTGTGTATAATTTCTCTCGATTCGAATTTATAAGAATAATAATAGGGAAATTAAAGACAAAGTTAGATTGTTCATTACCACATGTTGTTTACTTCGACGTCGTAATTATGATAGAGGAGGCTTCTATATAAAGGGAAACCTGCGAAAAAGTCTCAATATTTTAGGCCAGTTTACGATTTAGTCCCAAATTAAATTTTGTTTACAAAAAAGGACATATTACTGGCTAAAACTTCGGATTAACCCTTCGTGTCCGGTTTCACAGATTTAGCCGGTATCTCGTCTTTTTTCGTTACTTAATCCAAAATTTGGGCCTTTTTCATTAATTAATCAAAATTTTAAGGCTTTTTCATTATTTATTACCAATAAATCAAAATATTTGGATTTTTCTGAAGATTACCTTTAAACTAATATATATTATATGATCTAATTTAATATGTACTATTCCATGTCTTCTTTCTTATGCTCTTCTAGGCTCACCGTGTGTTTTTATCGGTGTCATCAAACACAACAAAAAAAATCTCACTCACAAGCCTCGTTAACTCCATCGATTTTCCAAAATTATCCATTCATAACTCTATGATCATCTTTCAATCTCCAAATAAAGAACGGAGAAAATCCTTGTTGATTACATGGATGTCCCTATTACCTAACAATGACTTAAACTGTGGTTCCAACACTTGGATGAATCCTGTTACCTAACCATGACTTGAATCCTATTTCCGAACCCATATACTATTCGCATTGTCCATAGTGTTGTTCACAGCAAAATACGAATCCCACATGGTTTAACCGCTGATACCTTGGCTCAAATCTTACATGACCCTTGTTTCTTTACAATAGGGCTTGAAAACCATGAAGAATGAACCATTAAGCTTAAAAAACTCAACATAGGTAAAAAAAATCAACTCGACATTATGTACTAAAAACCATGAAGAATGTTAACTCTAATTGTAAAAAAAATGTCAACAAGCTATCCATCATAAGCTATTAAAATATTAATTTGGTATACTTACGAGCTACGGTTCCAACACTCGGATGTTCCTATTAGCTAACCATGACTCGAACCTTATTTCGAACCCATACACTAATGGCATTGTCCATAGTTTTGTTAACAACAAAATACGATTCCCACATGGTTTAACCACTGATACCTTGGCTTAAGTCTTACTTGACCCTTGTTTCTTTACAATAGGTGTAACATCCCGACTCCCAGGTACAATATTTAATTAATTTATATTCTTGTTGTCTGATCAACTTGACGAGTTGGAGGCCCCAACTCGCCGAGTAAAGAGTGTTAATGGTCGCGTAATTTCCAGAGTCTACTCGAGGAGTTGGAGGACCCCAACTCGACGAGTAGGAGCTGAGTGTGAAAACCCTAATTTTCAGGGTTTGTGTCCTATTTAAAGGACCTTAAGCCTTCATTTCCGCCTCCCTTATCATATTAACACTCTGAGAGAAGCCTTAATTGAGCTATATGCTTGTAAGAGAGAAAGACGGGCTAATATTGCATATCGTAGTGCATTTTTTGGAAGAAGATTGAGGAGAAAAAGGCTTGGGATGATAAGGAGATCTTGGATCCATTAATAAGATTCTGTTCCGATCTTTATCAAAAAGTTCATCATTTATTGGTTTTTGTCTTGCCAAAAACTAATGTATTCTGGAAGCCCCAAATAGACTAAAATGTAATAATGACAATTGTTGTGATGTTACGTTTAAGTCATAATGACAACTGGTGTGATATTACAATAATTGTCATTATTACGTTTTAGTCTATTTGGGGATTCCAAAATGCATTACTTTTTGACAAAAAAAACCAATAAATGATGAGCCATGTGGGATTCATCTTACGTTGGGGCTTCTATAGTGTTGTAAGGAAACAAGGGTCAAGTAAGACTTGAGCCAATGTATCAGTGGTTGAACATGTGAGATTCGTCTTCTATTGTTAACAACACTATGGACAACGCCATTAGTGTATGGGTTCAAGTCATGGTTAGGTAATAGGAACATCTAAGTGTTGGAACCACGGTTTAAGTAATGGTTAGGTAATAGGGACATCCACGTAATCAACAAGGACTTTCTCCGTTCTTTATTTGGAGATTGAAAGATGATCATAGAGTTATGAATGGATAATTTTGGAAAATCGATGGAGTTAACGAGGCTTGTGAGTGAGATTTTTGTTGTTGGGTTTGACGATACCGATAAAAACACACGGTGAGCCTAGAAGAGCATAAGAAAGAAGATATGGAATAGTACATATTAAATTAGATCATATAATATATATTAGTTTAAAGGTAATCTTCAGAAAAGTCCAAATATTTTGGTTTATTGGTAATAAATAATAAAAAAAACCCTAAAATTTTGATTAATTAATGAAAAAGTCCCAAAATTTTGATTAATTAACGAAAAAAGATGAGATACCAGCTAAATTTGTGAAACCGGTTACGAAGGGTTAATCCGAAGTTTTAACCGTTAATCTGTCCTTTTTTGTAAACAAAATTTAATTTGAGACTAAATCATAAACTAACCTAAAATATTGGAACTTTTTCGCAGATTTCCCCTATATAAAAACCAAATAATTTAAGATGTCAAACTCTTGTCTTAATGAAACAAAATTTTGAACATGCTCTAAATTTTATTTTATGGATTAATCACAAAAAATAACAATATGATTTTATTGCTTTATTTATTATATTATCATATTTTTATTGATTTCTAGTGAAACGTTGTAGTTTGGAATTGAAAATCAATTATACGGTACAACATTGTAGTTTGTAGTTTGAAATTGAAAATCAATTATATGAATATTGTCTTATTATTATCATACCACTTTACATCACCATCATACACTATTAGCTTTATTTTTTAAGTTATTATTACCATATAATTATCTTTGATCTTACTTTTTAAGTATCAATACCATATATTTATCATTCGACTAACTTTTATTATTATCTCATTATAATCTAATCAATAAATCATTATTATTTAATAAGTATATTTTTATTACCTACTTTCTTAATATGAGTCCTACTAATTGGACCCTAGCTTCATTTATTGGATTCCAATTATTATGAGGTTTCAGTTTTTTCAATCTTGAGAATTATAATTTCTTATTTTATGAAAAAGTCTTACTTTTAATGATAATTATTATCATTTGACTGATTTTCATTATAACCTAATTATTCCTAATTTTATTATATAATAATATTTTTTTATTACTAACTTTATTGATATTATTAAATTTAATTTTTAATTTTTCTATTACTCACTCGCTTTTTTTTCTTAACTGCATACTCCTTTTTTAGTTCTTTTTTTTTGTGCATCAACCAAACTCGTGTTCACTTACTAATTTTTGCCTTCTAAGATGACATGCAAAATATTTTTATAAGCTCCAAACATATCGAGTGGAATAAAAGCACCACCACCAACAATGTAACTATTTCAACCAGGATAATCTTGGGTCAAGACCATAGTTAAATAAAATTATTATATTCAAATAAAATTCACTTACTCTGTTATTATCTATTTTTTCAAACATTTTTTGATAAAATAAATATGACAATAATAATATAATTTATTTTATAAAATAATAGTTTAAATAAAATTATAAAAAAATGTATCTGGAATAATTAAACAGGTGGATGAACATTTGTATTTGTATGGTGATAAATAAAAGTTTAAAAAAATCATTTGGTTATTGAATATGCGGCTAGGGCTGTAAACGAACTGGACGTTCGGCGAACCGTTCGTGAACTGTTTGGCGGAAAGTTCGTTTATTTAATAAATGAACGAACATGAACAAAAATTATCGTTCGTTTAGTTAAATGAACGAATATGAACAATGGTCTCGTTCGTTCATTTATGTTCGTGAACGTTCGTTTATGATGTTCATTTACGTTCGTTTATGTTCGTTCGTTTAAGTTTATTTATATTCATCTATATTCAATTATTTTTTATTATATTTCTATATTATATGTTCGTTTATGTTCATATATGTTCAATTGTATTTATTTATTTATTTATCTTTGTTTGTTTATGTTCATTTAGCATGTTCACGAGCATAAATGAACGAACATGAACAAAGTAATTTGTTAAACGAACGAACATGAACAAGAAAATCTCGTTCGTTTATCCGTTCGTGTTCGTTTGTTGTTCGGCTAACTTAAACGAACGAACATGAACAAGACCTTGTTCGTGTTCGTTTGGTTCGTTTACAACCCTATCTACGACCCTATTCTTCATTAAAAAAAAACCTATACCATTTGACAGTCAAATTCTCCATTTAGTACTAACCTAACACCATATTTTTCTCAGATTATATTACTCTCTCGTATGTTATTTGATGTCGCAGTCGCAATCGGATGACCATCGTCGTCATATCACCACAACCTCCAAATCACCGTTGCATGGGACACATCACTACTTCATGTGAAGGGGAGAAGGTGGAGAACAAATAGTCGGCAACACATGACGAATGGTGGAAGCCGGCAGAGACAATGTATGGTTGTTGGAATATAATTTTCAAGTTTTTGAATTGATTTTTTAAACAAAGCGTATGGATTATCATTTTGATTTTAAAAAATATTAATAAACCATCATGATTTTATTTATATAA